CTGGATTAGTCCCATACTGGCCTCCCAAAGAGCATCTGGGGTTGACATGCTTTCCCTTTTTCAGGCCAACTGTTTCTGTGGGTTTCTCCAACCTGGTGCAGACCCCTTCGATCTTCATTCCTCCCTCTCTTCAACTAGGTTCCAGATTTCAGCTTAGTGTGTTTCTGTGGATGTCTGCCTCTGCTTCCACCAGCCACTGGATGAGGACTCTAGGATAGCATAGAGAGTAGTCATCACTCTCATTCTAGGGGAAGGGCTTCTAGGCCATCCTCTCCTCCACTTCCCGGACTGTCAGATCATGTCATTCTTGTAGGTCTCTGGAGATCTTTGATATTTTCCATCTTGATTTAATAAAATAGCTTTTAAAAGTGGTTGGTGTTGTTGTTACTGTGTCTGTAATCAGTTACTGAGTTTGCAATGGGCAATAAAAGCCACACACTGGGCTGCATCTTTCTCTTAATGCTGGATCCATGCTGATGACTGGATAGATGAGTGTAGGTTAAGTCAGGCTCAAGGAGGCTTCTAGGGCTATTGGAATAAAGTCTGAACATGAAATCTGAAGGGCAAGGGCTCAGGCTTATCGTTTAATCAGCATGTGGTCTTTGGTACCACCTGCCGAAATGCAAAATGGACCTAGCATTTCTTTTAACTTAATTGCAAAAATTAAGAGAATCTTTTAGAAGAACACATTGTAATTTTTAAAAAATTGCATGTTTTCCCTGTTACTTCATGGGGATATAACTCTTGCTGGTAAGCTCACTGATAGCCAGGGCTCCCACAGCCTCCATAAGTGCAGTTAGACTCCAAAGTGAGGATAGCTACACACTGCAGCCATGTTGTATCCAGTTGCTTGTCTTCTAAAGCCACCCGAAGACCTTATTTGGTGCTGGAGCAGGGTAACCCCATGTGTCCAGACACACAGGTTGTATTTTAGTTTCCTCCTCTCACTTCTACCCAACACACACACACACACACACACACACACACACACACACACACACGACTTTAATCTCACTGAGCTAAACACATACACATCTGGAATATCCATGAAAATATGCACTGAAATAATTTTAGGCTCAGGATGTTTTGGGGGACAAAGAAGCAATTAAAAATATGTAGTATGTGCATATGGAATTAGAGTGTCCTGTGACACGCACGAAACTTACTTTCTCATGTTGAACATGAGCGCCTTTCTTCTTCCCGTGAACACCGTCTACCGAATCTCTTTGTGCTTCAGAGCCAATGAGTGGAAGGAATCTTAGACTGGTGGGGCTTGGCACCTGCAAACCACAGACTGAGGTAAGCACACTTAGAACGTTTACTTCTGGAATGTAAACCTGAGACACGGGTGCCACATGAGAGGCCCACTTGCTTCAAGCACATGCCCCCTTTCAGACATCCATTGTTCCGTCTTTCTCCCTGTGTTAGGTTGGTTTGTGTTCTTTTGATTTTTTAATTAAAAATAATATATATATATTAAATTGTATTTGGGTGTTCTGCCTGTAGGTATGTACATGTACCATGCATGTTCTTGGTGTCTTCAGTTGCTGGAAGTGGGTATTGGATCCCCTGGAACTGGAGTTATAGAAGTTGTGAGCTGCCATGTGGATGCTGGGAATTGAACCCAGGTCTCTAGAAGAACAGCAAATATTCTTCACCACTAAGTCATTTTTCCCAGCTCCTTGCTTTTGATTTTTTTGAGATAGATTTATGTATTTCAGGCTGGTTGCGAACTCTACACCCTTCTGCCTCTGCCTTCCTAGTGCTGGGAATATAGATGTATATAACCCTATTGTTAATTCAGTGTGTGTGTGTGTGTGTGTGTGTGTGTGTGTGTGTGTGTGTGTGTGTATAAGCACTCAGGTATATGTGTGCCCTCATGCTTATGGAGGTCAAAGATTCTTACTAGCTGTCTTCCTGATTACTCTCTGCTTTCTTTACTCATGCAGGGTAACTAGAGCTTGCCAGTTTAGGCTGGTCAGGCTAGCCAGATTGCCTAGAAGATCCCCTGCCTCTGCCTCCTAAGCACTGAGATTACAGGTGAGCTGCTGACTTCTCAGCTTTCCTGTGAGCTCCGAGGATGTGAACTCTGGTCCTCACACCTGTATGGTAAGTGCTTTATCTACTGAGAAATCTCCCCAGCCCCCCACCTTATATTTTGAGGTCCAGTCTCTCACTGAACCTCAAGCTCACTAATTAAACTGGAATAGGCGGTCAAGGGATTCTTCTGTTTCTGCCTCCCCAGCAGTGGAATTACAGATGCACCCTACTGTGTTCTGTTTCTTGGTGTGGGTGCTGGCGATCCAAACTCAAGTCCTTATACTTGTGTGGCAAGTCCTTTAATGACTGACCCATCTCCCCAGTTAATTGTTGATTACTCTCAGACTCATTGTTGTTATCTACTACAATTAACATGACCTTATAAAGATAAGTAATATTTAAGATCTATGTTGACATTGACACACTTGGTATTTGGTTTATTATTTCTTGGTTTCATCCATTAATCAACACAGGTTACCTTGGGGTGGAGACTTGGAGATTTGATGAA